ATTCCCCAAAGACATACTCCACTAATATGACCAAAGGACAATGTGTGCCCCTGACGGCATATGCTCATCTCAGAGGGATAAAAATCTATATTCATGTAGGAAATTTATTGAGAACAAATGAAGACATTGCCAACCATTGACCTCCTTTTCTTCATATTCATCATCATGTCCACCAAGGATCAAAAACAATGCTCAGATATAATGCAATATGCCATCTCGTTTTTCAACTAAATCTATTTGCAGTCTCTGGTTCCTGAATTAACTTATTCTAAGGAGACTCGTGTGTGTGTGTGTGTGTGTGTGTGTGTGTGTGTTTGCTTTGTATTGCTCAGGGGATGAGTGATATCTAAAATTCAAATGCCTTTAGAGTCCAGGTACTTAATGTAAATGTGTGAAGTTGCTGGTTGTAACCATCAAGGAATGGAAGATACTAACAAATAGGAACTTTCATGCTCATTAGAACATACTACACATACTGGATTGCTAAATGGAAAACACGTCAGTTTAGATTCCACCAAACAGTGGCCAGTTTGTGATCTAACCTTTAAATTAAATCTCACTTGTAGGATCTGAATTTAGGGCTCAGATGTGGCACGGGGAGAGAAAGTGGAGCAGCAGATACTTTCTTATATCCCTTCTGATATCCTGTCTGGGTTCAATCAAGTTCAACATTAGTCAGCTCTCATATGAACCTTTGCTATATACTGTCATCTTGGCCCCGTCTTCCATACACATTCATGAAGTGCTTTCCCGCACGACACGTGTGTTTGCTATCCACTGCAGACCAAGACTATGTTGATAGAAATCCAGCGTGATCTGAAAAGGAGTCAGACCCTGTCTGTTTTTTACAGCTGTTTGGAGAGGAAGGCTGCCTACCTGCTGAGTATCAAGCCTCTCTCTCAAGCTTGTTTGGATCATGCTGCTCTCCCCCTAGATAAAAGGATGAAAGCACCTTCTGTCATTGTGAAGGCACTCAGGCCTGCCAGCCACAGGTCTTTATTGTGAGAAAAGCAAACAACCCTTAACTTGCTGATGATGCTGGAAAGATGTCCTCAGAGGCTAAGGAATCATTTTATACTTTTCAGTTTGCTTTTAAATTATTTTCCTTTCCCCTTGCCCTGAACAAAAATTTACAGAGAAGTGCAGGTCTGAAATTTAGTTGAGTTAGCAGAGCCCAAGCTCAATCTGGAGAAAAATACAGCTGAAGACACACTTTCAAAGTCATTTACTCTGAATGTTTAGTGGCCTACTGACAGTAGTAAGTACAAGTTAACCCTAAATATCCCTTCTCCCTTATTTACAGTTTTAAAAGGAAAAAGTGGGACCAGTTAAGTTTAACAAAATTTACTTGAGCAAGAAAAAGATTCTGGGACCAGACAGTCCTGTAGTCCAAATATAGTTTAGAACCCCCCCCCCCCTTTACAATGTAGTGAGCTAGTTTTATAATCACAAAGACATGAAATGACATACAAAGATGATTATCAATTGGTACAGCTTAGTGTTGCCTTATTTGGGCATAATTTGGCAACCTTCCACTTGGGATTGGCTAAAGGGTTGGCCACTGTGATTGGCTAAGGCTCAGTTGCTTAGTTTCAAGGGTATGCTCTAGGGTTGGAGTACACTTGCTTGTGCATTACACTAAGTTGTAGTTCACTACATACCAGAGACCACTTGGAGCCAAATTTTATCGCCCACATACAGAGGCAGGTTTAGGTCAAATGTTTTTCAGTTTAACAACAGAATAATGAGACTTTGAAGGTTTGTTCCTTTTCTTATTTCTTTTCCTTGCTGGTTGGAATTCATACAGTGATGGTAATTGCAGAAGCAGTCTTTTAGGTCATGAAATGATTCTGGGAATGGATGTCATGCAACATGGAACACTAGGAGGAACCTATGTCCCTAACATCAAGAAAAGCCATACTCTCCTGGTCCTCCTGGATATTCGATGTCCTCTGGACATTGACATAAGAGATAACAAGGCATCTATCATGTTTACTTTACCTGGTTGGGGCAAGGGAGGCAGTTTCTAGCACTCATAGTCAAAATTATCCCAAAGTAATAAAAATATAAAGTGGATGCACAAAAGTAGGTTCGGACATTCCTCATGCTGTCTCTTTGAGGTAGCAAGAGGTGAAACATCATCACTGACGTACTGTGGGAAATTCCTTTATAAAAGTTCTAACCAAGTTCATCATTTCACTTTCACTTTCCACAACCTCCCAACCCATGCCAGGTCTCCATCAGCTGCAGCTCTCAGCTCTTGCCTCCATCGTTCCTAGCACTTACCTGTGCTCTGCCTGCCTTTTTACTTATTTTGTGCTTGCTGCCTTAAGTAGACAGTGGGAATTGGGGAATAGAAAATGTCTCTTTTGTCACCACTTTTCCCATTTACGGTGCAAAACAAAGCACTACTTCAGTTCCAGGCATCCCATGAGCTCCCTAATTGAAATAATTTGGAAGCTTTTTGACCCTCACTCACCATACCATTTCCTATGTTCTTTCATTCTTCAGATTTTCTATTCTTTAGAGAAATTCTCTCTACCAGGGACTGAACTATGACACACTCTAAAATAGAGGGAAAACTCAGGGAGTCTCATCAACTCTTTGCAAGGTCTTTTTTGTGGGAATATGAACTTTTGCCTAGAGGGAAGGGTCATCGCTTTCATCAGAATTAAGAAAAATTATAGCCTTAATAGGAAAATAAAAAATCTTCAGCTAAAATTATACCTGAAATTGTTGGGTAGGGGGGTAAGATTAGAAATGAGATTATGTGGATGATTCAGTTTACAAAGAAGATAAATTCACATATAGATCTATATAATTATGTATCTAAAGACTTTTTAAAATCTTGATTTTTTTCCATGGCTTTGCTATCTCAATCTTTTGTTCTTGAGGAAGTGACACAAAGAAAAAAATCAAAGATACACTGGGAATAAAATGAAGCAAAGCTTTATTGCAATCACAAAGCACCAATTTGACGAAGTATCAACACACAGATATTGAACAAATGTCTCTTTGAACAGAGATGTAGCAAGCCCACTTTTTCAAGTTCTTAAAAACAAATACTTAAGCCAGGAATCAAGCAAAGCATAGGATAATTTAAAAAATATCACAGCATCAAGAAGGAATATATATAAAAATATTCTGTACCAGTAACAGGCTTTTTGATCTATAACTCTTGACATTTTTTTCAGAAACAAATGACTATAAATACAAACCATAAAGTAAAAAAATGCTTTCTTTAGAAACAAAGAACCAAATGTAAGCAAATCTATGCAGAAAATACCATTACCCCTGTGACAGTTAGGTGAGTATGGATGGCTATCCCAGTACACAGCAAGTTTCTCTTTTCAGAGCTACAATTCTGTTCCTGAAGGGGTCATGATGCATGTTCATTTCAAACATCCCAGTATGTCCCAGTGAAACCTTAATAAGGTCAAGTGGAGTACCCTCAATAAAAAGGGTGTTGGCAGTTCCATCCACGTAACACAAACTCTACCGAGCAGAGGAATTCAAGACAGCAATCCCTTTCTCTTTTCTCCCCCTCTCCAAGGTTCCTTATTTTTACTCTATGTCTGTAAGTCAAAGATGCTCATTTCTTTAAGTTTCCTTTCAAAAGATGTTTGAGAAAGCAATCTATGAAGAAAATCCTTATGACCTTAAGCTTTTGTGGAGAGGGGTATCTAGTAGTGGCAAAGATCGTTCTAGTTGGCAAATTCCACAAGGAAAATCATTCTGTGCTTGCCTGGTCCTTGCTCCTCCTAGCTGAATTCAAGTCAGCTGATGGATTGCCTAGTTTATCCCATAGGATAACTTTTCATTTGGTTGAAATTTTTTACATATACATATGTATGTATGTATGTATTGATTTGCAAAGTTTCATCACACGAAACTAAATTATGTCATCACGTATTTTTTGAGGCCTAAGACCCCAATTTGATGGCATTATGAAGAGTTGTTCTTTAAATGCTTTGTCTGGAGAGGCTTTACATGATATTCATAGATTTTCAGAGCAGGCCCCAATTTTAACTGAAGTCCTGTTAACACATCATTCCTTGTCATCAATAGAAGGGATTTCCCATCAATTTCCTATAATGGAAACAGAAAATAAAGTAAACATGTAAGTCCAAAAACTCAAGGATAATGAAGGAAAAAGGAAGTTCAAAGGCAACAGTTATACCAGTTGTCCTGAAGCTCAAAATTACTTTTATAGCAGTGTTAAAATGGAAAAAATGAAATCTTTTATTTTTATCTTCTTTTACTTGTATGAGGTATGATTGAAAAATATGGTGGATGTTTACACTTAAAAAATTATTACAGTAAAAGACACATTATTGTTAATCTCCTTCAAGATACTTCACCTTACTTTGAACACACTTATTTCATCATTCTTGTCACTAGCTGCAGTAGTTCTGGAAGTCCTCTTTCACAAGTATCTTTAGTTACATTGTTGTGGCTACCTTGTTGAATCAATTAAAAATGTTTACCTTTCATGACCATGTTTACTTTAGGGAAGAGACAGGAGCCACACAGTTCCAGATTTAGTGAATAAGGTGGAGGAGTACACGCTGTAATGTTTTTATGAGCATGTCTTTGTGTTGGATGGCACTAGGGAGCAGCATTCATTGTATTTTTGATCACACCTTGTGAGGACACTCACAGAAGAGGACTTCCAGAACTGCCTCAGAAAATGGCAGCAATGATGGGAGAAGTGTGTCTGAATCAAGAGGGAGTATTTTGAGGGGCATTAATAGGAATGTGTCTGGCACTGCAATTATTAAAAAAATTTTTTTAATATTCACTGTATATTTTGATCATCCCTTTTATTTAGAGGTTAAACACAATCCATAATTGATCTTGTTTTCAAGATCACATCACAAATGTCATACCTTAATGTAAATGTAGTATCTCAACTCAACTAACAGCAGCTTTACAGCTGTAAATCCTAAGGATATTTACAGTTGGTAACATATCGATCAAAGATGTTGCTTCTAAAAGGAACAAGAACAGTTTCCATTTATTAAATATATCAAAGTTTATGTAGGATTTTCTTTGTGCCTAATTTCTAAAAAAACTATAAATTAGGATGGGGAGAAATCATTTTTACTTATTTATAGGCAAGGCAACAGGGATCAAGCAAGAAGTTAACCAGCCTAACTTAAAATCAGAGAGTCAGGGAAGGGTGGCAAAGTATTTGAACTCTCATCTGCCTACAGTCAAACTTGATTTTTTCTTTTTTCAAACCCAATTTTTAAAAAATCCCCTTTGGCCCCTCTGGATACTGAGAAATAAATATGTGTTGCCTGGACAGTCCAATGGATTTAGAGTCTTAGGTTTCCAAGCACCTTGTCAATCACAACAAGCATCTATAAAATGACTTACCCTCTGGGAGATTCCTTTCACTCTTTTGAAAATAGAATCATTCTACTTCAACCAGAAAATCAACGTCTCCACATTGAGGACCCTGATCACATCACTCTCAAGGGATCCTCAAGACCGCACACTGTACAGAAAAGGGTATGTCCCTGGAAGCTGCAAATCCCTTCCCTGTTCTGCTCACAGTCCATTCCCCACCAGGTACAGGATCAGGTGTGCTTCACTCCAGGTACTGTGGAGATTACAAAGCTTTGAGGTAAAATAAAAATGGGCCTCTCACAAAAGCACAAGGCTGAAAATATACAAAGCGTTTTAAAATTTTTGGAAAGGAAGTACTGAGAATGCTGACTGCTACCTTATTTTTGTTATTGTTTATGGTAGAAACTTTACGTGTCTTAAGAACCTGAGCTGGCTCTCAGGAAACTTGAGGTTAGGAGATGGACCAGCTGTTGTTCATGATTTTACCCACACACTCCTGCACCAACCTGGAGCAACAGACCGGGGCATGTGATGTACAACTGGAAGTACATAAAATTGTGATTCCCTCCTAGGGAAGCCATTCCTCCCTGGCTCTTTCATGTTCCTTTCCAGGCTGTAAGAAAAAACACTTTGAATGCCTGAGAGTGTGGAAGAAATAGGATCAGGTTAGGGCTTAAGAGAAACCGCTTTCTTCTTCAGGCAACTCCCTTCCTCTTCTGTCTCCTTCCTTGGTAATGTGGGAACATCGGGTTTCTGAAAGGATTCTGTGAGAAATTGCTCTTGTACAAGTTCCCTGAGCTATGAGTGATAAAATTGTGTGTCACTGTTCCTTCCACCGTGCTAGGCAGGACTGTGGCCCCCACTTCTCTTGTCAACCACCTACTAGCACGAACCACACCACAACAAAGGATTGCTTCAAACTGGCCTATGACTTTTGGAAGCATTTATTTTGTCAGTGACTAGAAGACAAAATATCTCACATTAATGTGTGAGAGAGAACTGTTCAAAACTAGAGCAGATTAAAAACACAATAGAGCAAGAGTGGAAAATTATTTTAAGGACACAGGAACAAACTCTCTAATATTTAAATGCTCTCTCTCTCTCTCTCTCTCTCTCTCTCACACACACACACACACACACACACACACGCACAATTAGTAATCCTAAAGGCTACCCATTAGTGAAACCTGTATGTTTGAGATTTGCCTCACAACTTCCAAAATGAACCCCGGAGCTTCTGGCACCCAGAGGCCACAACAGCAGAACTGAAGAAATTGTGAGGCCCCAGGAATCTGAGTCACAGGCAACTGCACCCGGAAGAATACTGACTGGGAATGTTTACTGAGCAGCAAAGGCCTTCCTTTCTCCATCTTTTTTTTGCTGTTGTTGGCCCATGCTTAGCCCTCTTCATATTTGAAACAGGCTTCAGGAAGAGAGGACACTGCTTCCATTTCTGCACGACAAGAAAACTTCCTTTACTAACTCAAAGTGAATTTAAAGCAAAAGTCTGCTGGCAAAAAGTCCTTGCACAACTCAGGATTTCTGATACAAGCCAACTTTGTTTGTAGAAAGTGCTGAAATTTGGGTTTTACATAAGACAAAATGACAAATCATATTTTCTACTCCAATTTGATTTTCCCTTTGTTCAGTGCAGACACTGCAGTCCACCTCACACCAAAGCTGGTAGAAGAAAGCTTCATCTGGATGTCATCATTATAAAAAGAATATATGCCATGTTGTTGAAGTAACATGGCAGCTCAGAGGTATGAGGGTGGAAGAGAGCAGAACAGAAATGTGAGCTCAGGCCAGGCAAACTGCAGTCTGAGCCCCGTCTCTACAACTTACTGTGTGACCTTGCGTAAAGGACTTAACTTCCCTGAACTTCAGCTCTTCACTTGTAAAATGGAAATAAGCCTGGGAATGACTTGATATAAAGCACCTAGCATAGTGATATAAAGCACCTAGCATAGTGCTTGACATAAAGGAGGCTCTCAGTGACTACTAAGTGGAAAGTTAAGGGCTTTGAAAGAAATGAGATGTTTTCTGAATCCAAATCCATCTTCTTGCTTTCTGTTGGCCCTTTGCAGAAGGATGTAGGCATGTTCCTGTTCAAGTGCCAAAATTTTACGAGGAATAAAGTGTTCAGTAGTACATAAAACCTTTGTCCTGAAAATCACACATATAGAAAAGTTCCTGATTAAAAAAGCTAAGTGGGGTGAGGCGACACATGTTTGTAATACCAGCTATTTGAGAGGCTGAAGCAGGTGGATTTCAAGTTTGGGGCCAGCCTGGGCAATTTAGTGAGACCCTCTCTCAAAATAAAAATTGAGAAAAAGGAGTGGAGGCTGGTGGAGTGTCCCTGGGTTCAATTCTTCAATCCCCCTCCCAACAAAACTGCTAATTTGTCACATAATAAACTGTAATAAAAGATTACAATTGTGAATGAAATCCAAATTTTGCCATGCCATGGTGTGCTGGAATGAGCCTGGACTGGAAACTGGAAGACAGTGATTCTACTGCAGACTCTATCAGTAACTTTCCACAAGGAACAGATCCCACTCTGCTCATTAATATAGCTTAAAGGGGTTGGTGTGTGACCAGTTTCAGCTATACAAACATCCCAAGATTTTGCATTCTATGTAAATCATGATTAAAGTCAAAACAAAAATATAATTTCACAACTTGGGAAATGAACAATCATTTGTTAGCTTTAGTGAAACTCGGCACAGTGATTCTGTCTTCATGTGAAAGTCACCTTCAAGTTCCTGTCAGGCCGTAAAATCCAAAATGTTTGCCTACTTAATAAGTTCCAGCAAGTACTCAGGCATTGAAGAAAGGTTTAGAGAAGATAGATCTATATTTTCAATGAGGGCGAGACCCTAGATTTAAAAATAAATGAGTAGGATCCTTAAATGTCATAGTTCAGTAGATAAGAATGTGCAGTAGGGTAGCACACCATTTTACTGCTTATTAGGTGGGGCCTGGAGCAAGTTCCTTAATCTCTTTAAGCCTCATTTCCTTATCTAGATGATGGGAAAAAGCAGCAACTGAATTTCATTGCCTAAAGGGTTTTTGAGATAACACATGTGAAGGAGAATTCCAGACATCTACCGAGCACTCAGTAAATGCTAGCTGTATTAGTCAGATTTTTGTTGCTGGGACCAAGTACTGGACACACACAACTTAAAGGAGGGTTTATTTTGGTTTGGCTCACAGTGCTTTCAGTCCACTGTCAGCTGGCTCCAGAGCAGAAACATCATGGCAGAAAGGAACGATGGAGGAAAAGTGCCTGACTCATGGTGGTCGCAAAGCAGAGCAGATTGACAGAGCCAGAGAAGAAGGGGCCAAGGGACCACAGACCAGGTATAGCCCCCCAGGTCATGGCCCCAGGACCCACTCCCTCCAACTAGGTCCCACTTTCTAATGGTCCATTCAGCTATGAACTCATTGTTAACTCCTTGATGAGGTTAGTGGCCTCACAATCCAATTGCTTCTCTAGGAATCTCTTAATGCAGGGCAGTTCACTATCAAGCCTGACTGGCACACGAGCTATATATATATCTTATTCCTGCTGGGCAGAGCGACACATGCCTGTAATCCCAGAATTTAGGGAAACTGAAACAGAAGAGTTCCAAGTTTGTGTCCCATCTGGGCAACTTAAGGAGACCCTGTCTCAAAAAATGTAGAAAAAGGATGAGGATGAGGATGTAGCTCAGTGGTAGAGGCCCCCTAGCTCCAGTACTGCAAAAAACAAAAATAATAAAACTTAACTCATTATTTCTCTTTCTCTGTTACATATATCTAATTCATGATGACAACGAATTGAGCCTGATTTTCATAGGGTCCGTGTAAAATGCATTTGAAGACAGGTGGAGTGGGAAGTCAAAAATCAAAGAGAAAGGGGCTGAGAGAGAAAAAGAGCAGCCATGAAAGAGGCAACTGGGAAACAACAACATAGGCCAGGGAAGAGCTAGAAGGAAGTCAATGGGATTTTGAGGGAGAGCCCTGCAACTGACTCTGAAGGCCATGTCTGTGTTGGTGATTTCTACTGTACCAAATAGTGTGTAGGGGAAAGGGACAGAGAGCTCAACTTAGAATCAGAAGACTCAGTTGTGGAACTCTCCTGTGTACTAGTTTCTTGTGTTAATATTTGGCCCATAATTCCCCTCCTCAGTGAAATGAGAGATCTTAACTAAGCGGAATTCGGCCCATTCCAGTTCAACACACTCTCAGACTCCAATTACCTTTGATAAACATCAAGACACACCGGTTTCATATGAAAGTCCCTGGTAAAGAATGTGCCACCAACTTCTTACCAAAGACATGAAGGGATCTGATGAAATAGTTTTTCTTTCTCCATTTCAGTCTGCCCCCCATCACATTTTCTAGAACTTTCTTTGTAACAACCCTCTTGCCATTCACTATCTGGCTACAAGTGGTGACCAGTCTGAAACTTCCCATTCCACTGCTTACAAAGGGTACACATGTCTCTGAAATAGAGGGACTTGATTTGCAGCCAAGGGTTACAAAAGTGGAAAATCCTGAGTCCAATATGGGGTTCACATCAAAGGAGGAGGATTGGGATCTCCTGGGCCTATCCATGTGGCCAGTAGAAAAATAATCTCCTGAGAAAGGTTCATCCTCCTCAGAGACATTCTTAAAGACATGGTGTGGCCTCTTAAAGTACAGTTCCTCCTCCAGATGACTTTTATCCCTGCCATTTGCTCTGTTTTCCCTTTGGGTGCAGTTCCTTCTGGCCCTGTCACAGTCATTGCACTTCTTGGCATTACACAAGACCTTGTAGGCCTCTGCTACTTGTTTGAATTTCTCCTCAGCTGCCTCCTTATTCTTGGGGTTCTTGTCAGGGTGTACCTGTAGAGCCAACTGGTGATAAGCCTTTCTGATGGCAGAGGAGGAAGCATCTTGAGATACCCCCAGTATTCTGTAGTAATTCACCATGGTTCTTCAAACAGCCTTTCCTCACCAAGATACACAGTTTATTTTCTGAAGGATCTCCGTATGACATTGGAAAGGAAGACGGTGAACTGTTCAAGTTCACACAGTTGATTCTTGCCACATGGTTTTTGAGATGCAATTTCTTCGGGGGGTGGGGAGGGGAGAAATTCCTTTTCCCGTAGAGATCCTTCACATGCCCACCCACACCTTCACACTGCACGGTCCCCTGGGAGGAGTGACTATGAGCTCAGCGTTCCAAGCCAGTGACACTCAGCTGAAGGTCTGCCTCCCTTGCTTTCCTATTGGTGGAAAACTTGGGGTGAATAATAGACATCTTAGGGAGGCTTTTAAAAAAGATACACAAGTAAACAAATAAATAAATGCTGATTGGCTTACTAACAGAGAGAAACTATATGTATGGTTTAAAAGTTTTTACCTCATCACAAGCTAGACGAGTCTTGCACTTGATTCAGAAACGCCATGCATTCTGGGTTATGTGAAGGCCCATGCCTTCAGTGAGTTCAGGAGTGCTTCCCTGTGCTACTTAATATTCACCATTGGCACCAAGTGAGTGATAAAGGAGCTGTATTATAAAAAAATCTGTATACATTTCTAATTCAGGTAAAAGAATAAAAACTCATTTAATCAAATGAAGAAACTGGGTCACAGAAACTAATCTAAGTAGATTATAAAGAGGATAGGTTGGGGGAATACAATTAGACATGAAGACTTCCCACGTATTGTCAGATAAGACTTCTTCAGTTCTGGTAATGTTAGCCTTTTCTGAAATGTATTTCTGGACTTAGGAACCAAACTAAATAGAAGCACCAAAACAGCAAATGCTTTAAAAATGAAGAGCTTGGGAGCCCCAGTGTAGCAGGACTGCTGGTTGTTGCCGTTTTTGCAGGACATACAACTTCACATTTCCTGATCTAGTTTGCAGCCCTGTGTGGCCTGTGACTAAGTCTGCAGAATGAAATGTGAAGGGTGCAAGTGCACCTCTTCCAGGCCTGCACCCTAAAACCACCTCAGTGGGCTCCTCTTTCCCCTTTTTCCTTGCACCAACTGATCTGAGTGCCCAGATGAACTTGAAGGTTACCAGCTGAAGATGACAGTACCCCAACAGCCTGGGGCTTTGAATTACAGTGAAGCAGGGCATTCCCACCAGCCACTTTGGGTTATTTACATGGGCAAGAAATAAACTACTGTTGTTAAGCTACCGTACATGTTTTCATCTACTTGTGACATCAGTTAGTCTACTCTAATACACACATCATTGCTATAATTTCACCTTCACTTTTAGAATCTACTTTTATGATGTCATCTACTGAAGAGTCCTACCTCTGTGACACTAAAAGTCCAACATCCTGTCCTCTCTCTCCCTCCTCACTTTTGTTAAACCCGGTTTTTCATTTTATTTCATTTTCCCCAGGGTTGTGAGTCCCTGTCAGGCTCTTTTGTATAAACTCTATGGTTAACCATGAGAGCTATTCTCCTCCTAGCCCTCTAAAACAGTCTTCTGAGGCCGTTAGCTTGCACTGTGCCCAGGGCCACATACCCCATGGCCCATCCAGGAGAAGTCTAGTTCTCCAGCTTTTCTAACTGCTCTACTCAGTGCAGCTATAAAAACAAAACAGAACCATGAAGATGGAATAGTTCACATTTGCAGTTTACCAATCTCAGCAGAGTCAGTACAATATCTCAGCAATTCTTTCATTTATCCTTAGTCATCTGCTTCTCCTATGCTCCTTGGTGGCCATTACTACTCTCCTCTGGTTCCTTACTAAACCTCTACTCTTACCACTCCACTCTAGAAGAGGACCTTGCTTTTTGTTTAGTTAAAAAAAAACAAACCCAGAAGCTGTCAGTAACTCTCTTAATGTCTCAGAAGACAAGTTGTGTCAGTCAGGGTTCTTGGAAGAAACAGAACCCATAGGATATTGGTTAGATATAACCAAGGTGCAAGTTGGGAAACTGAGAGAGCTGTCAGTGTAATTAAATCCAGGTCTGAAGGCCTGAGAATGGTGTGGTGGGGAAGACAGAGTAAGTCCTAGTCAGGGTATGAAGGCCTGAGAACCTACCAGGAGTACTGGTGTCTGAGGGCAGGAGAGGACATGTGTCCCAGGTCAGACAGCGAGTGTGAATTTGCCCTTTCCCGCCTTTTTCATTCTGCTAAGGTCATTGATGGATTGGCTATGCCCACCCACACTGAGGAGGGCAGCCTTCTTTACTCAATCCACTGATTCAAAGCTGATCTCGTCCACAATCACCCTTACAGACACACTGAGAAATATCGTTTTTATCCATGTCTTACTCAGTAGTAATTCTTTGGTGTTCTTTTTAAAATATTTGAATATTTTATTGATCAAATTGAACCATTAGGAATATAATAGCTGACATTACATTTAAAAATATTTTATTGTGGTAAAACATGTATTACGTGAAATGTCATGTTGACCATTTCTAAGTATACAATAGCATTGATTACAATTATAATGTGGCATACTCATCACCACTCTTTTAAAATTATTTCTATCGCTTCAATCAGAAACTCTATCCCCATTAATTAATAACGCTTCCCTCCCTTCACCCCCTGATAGCTTCCAATTTACTTTGTGTCTCTATGAAGTTGCTAGCTGTTTCATATAAATGGAATTGTATAGTATTTGTCTGGCTTATTTCACTTAGCATGGTGTTTTCAAAGTTCACTCCTGTTCAGCAAACATCAGAACTTCATTCCTTTTTACAACTGCTTATTCCATTTTATGTGTACACCATATCTTGCTTACCTATTTATTTGTTCATGGACCCTTAAGTTGTCTCCACCTTTGATTATTGTGAATAATGCTGCAAAGGCCACTGCACCAAGTAAGCATCTGAGCTCCTCTTCTGAATTCCTTTGGGTGGAAATGCTGAGTTATATGGTAATTCCATGCTTAACTTTTTGAAGAGTTACCCAACTGTTTTCCACAGTGGCTATACCATTTTATAATGCCACCAGCAATGCACAAAAGTTCCAATTTCTCTATCCTCGCTTCTCCATACTCTTTCTTTTTCTTGGTACTGGGGATGGAACTCGACCTCCATACTCGTTTGATCTCATTCCTTTTCATTTAACTTTCCTCAATTCCCCATCATTTTAACCTACTCAACTCTTTTGGCTACTTTCCTGCATGTCTGTAAGTCTGGCTGTCTCCTCTCTTAGGAAAGAGCCTGCGTGTCTGCATGACCCTCCAGCTACCACCTCGCACCCACTGGCCTGCACTCCACTTGGTCCTCCTCTCTCCTGGGCTCCACACTCCTCCTCAACAACACCATTGCAATTACTTTTGCAGACTTCACATCAGTCCCATACCTCACTGCTCTTGACCCTCTTGAGGTATTTTGAACTTGGTCCCTTTAGCGGTTTCTATAAAACCTCTCATTACTGATTCTCTCCCCACTTCCCTGATTATATTTTCTCAGTTGTTTTTGGAAGTTATCTTTTCTCTCTCAACAATTAAAATTTTGGTGTTCCTCAGGGTGTCACCCTTGGCCCCTTTCCCTTTCTAAACGCCTCTCTTGTTCTCCCCCACCCACCATGGCTGATGATGACTCTCATACCTGTTTCTAGGCCTCACTCTTCCCCTTAGGAGTCTGCTAGATAGCTTCTCTTAGATGTCTTACAGGCCCTCAAATTTAGTGGGCCCCAATCTATTATCTCTTTTAAAACTTACCTCCCACATATGTTCTGGTTAATGGCATCACTTTACAACCTCCCAATCTGGAAACATGGCAGTTATCAAAGCCTCCTCCCTCTCCCACCTGTGAACATTGGGTTTAAGCCCGTAGCTACAGCAGAGAAAGAGACCTGGCAAATTTTCCCCCTCTGTTGGCCATGATTACCTTCTTTGGCTGCTTTCCAACTGTTAGCCTGTGATGGTTAACTGATAGTGTCAACTTGAGTAAGAAACATCCAACTAAATTGGATCAGCATGGTTCTGAGTGTGGCTGTGGGAATCTACTGAAGACAGAAGACCCACCCTAGGGTGGCTTGTCATCTGAAAGGAATAAAAGGGAAACAAAGGAGGAAATCTCGCTTCTATTTCTTTGGAGGGGCTCCAGCCTTTGCCTTCACCTTGAATGTCCTCTGCTGGCTTCCAGTGCAGACTCTTCAGCCTCCAGTACACTTTTCAGCCTTCCATTGCAGACCCTTTGGCCTCCTGATGTGGACTTGCATGGGACACTACCGTGAGCTCCAGGCCTTCTACTGGATCCTTCGTATCTCTAGCACACAGACAGACCGTTTGCACTCTTCCACACCTGACTCTGGGCAGCCATCGTAAGCCAATCTTGTAAATTCTTACATATTTGTATATCTTCCAGTAAATCTATTTTTCTAGTAAGCACTGACTGATACATAGCCTTACCTGTTTGCTTGTTATGTTAATATTTTTTCTAAATATTTATGGACTGAAAAGGCAAATCAGCAGAGTCTGAGTTGCCACATTCTTTGTTTATTATGTTATAAAATATTTTAAGCATTTCAATAGCTGTCATTTATTAAGACATAGTAAGCATCAGAGCTCCTTGAATAGTCTCACTACTGATATTTATTAAATGCTAATAAAGTACTTAATTTCCAATTTGTGAGGTTTTGATTGGCCTAATTCAGAGGTGATTTACTATGAACTTAATGAAGCTCAAGTTTCTGTTTAACAATTTGTAGTCATACTTTTGTAATTTATTTTTCAAAGGTGGAATCTTAGAATTGCATAAACTCAAGGCCCCATAAAACCTGGATGTTTCCCCGTCTAATTAGAAATATCCATCTATAATCACTAGAGTTGAATTCAACCAGGGCATGAACTAGGATAATATGCTCAGCGCTGCTCTCATTGGCTTTTCACCTAACTACTCCATTTTGAGGTAGGCAGTATGACTTGGCAATTTGCAGCAATAAGAAATTTTATTTATCTTCATTAATTCAGTGACTCCAGAAATTTACTCAAAGTTAGCAGTAAGCCAGCTGAAAAGAAACTCCAATCTTCATGTTTCAAATGAATGACTTAACCATTGGGGCATTTCAGAGTAAAATACTGTTCATATTAAGGTGGCTTGAAGTAAGGAGGTAAAAGACTAAAACTAATTTGTCACCTTGTACTGCATATTGTTTTGTCATGATACTCAGAGAAAAAAATGACCTCAGACATATATATTGTTCTAGATATAAAATTACTGATGTCACTCACTCATAGGTACAAAACATGGGAACAATCTGAACTATATGACAGTGATTGAATGGCAGCTCTCTATCTTCTGCCTTCTTCTTATATATTCTGACTATTGAGTCAGACAGATACAGACATAGAAATGAAGTGACTACACTACAGCAGGGAGAATTGTCTTTGTGACTCGGATCCAATTTGAATGGTCTCGTTTATACTGGAATGCCACAATTTTTTAACTGGCATCTAAAAGCATTGTAATATAGATGCCAATAGAGATTTACTTTGTCAAATTTACCCTTCAGAGTTTGACAAAGTAAATCTTATCATAAATGTTCTCTCTGAGGAAGGTGGACATCCTTTTGAATAAGTCAAAATGGTCTTTCTTAAAAACCAAAGCTCTTAGGAAAGTGAAATTCCTGAGATACCTTTGATTCTTGAAAAGCAAGCATCCCATATCTATAAACAAGTGCCAATTTCTTACCACCTATTCAAAATAATTCTTCAAATCGTTTTTATACTGGGCACCATAAGCATACTTCATAAGGACCAGTTCCACGATCACACCTTTGACTTTTAATATAGAAACTTGAACAATATTTTGTTTGTTGAACTAAATATTCACTTTATAGAAATCTGAGTTTTAGAGAGGCACAATCCAGGATCATCCAGTGAGCATGAGGAAACTAGGAGGAAATAAGCCAGAGTCATGACACCAACCCCTATCCTCCACTGAAGCTTCAACTATCCATGTGGTAGAAGATACCTGGGAAAAGAGCCACTGCACCATAGTGTCAGTGGGAAGCAGATGGTGCTGATGGTGCTATAATCGCTGCCTTCTCTGGGAAAGGTTCCCACTGCTTCCTGCTTTCACAACCCAGGGAACATTTTAGAGCACTGTTAGTGAGTCCAGTGGGCCAGTAAATAGCTGCATCTCTGGTGACACAGCCTATGTGCCAACCCAAGGGGGAGCAACATTACTGGTTATAAAAGAGGTCTGGCCAGAACAGTAATATAGCCTAAAACACACACATTATTGACAATGGGTCATTGATGGTTGAGTGGGCAAGAGCTTAGACCTTCCCTCTTGCTAGTTCTTATGGCTTAAAACTGTGGCTCATGAATGAGGTTCAAACCAGGATTTCCAGAAAACTTGATGGAGATAAATATGCCAGGGGGAAACTTAATAGACATAATCATTACATGGCAGCAGGATGTCACACAGGGAAAAGGAAGTAAGGCAAAGGTCATCAGCTTAATCCAGCTGCCTCTTCATACCCTAGGAACTGGGGATGCCATTCCTATCCTTCAGAAGAATCTCACTCAGTGGCCTAATATCTTGCAAATAGTCATCATACTGCTAGAAAGCGTTATCTGAGTGTGGCTGCTACCGCAGAGTACCCAGCAACGTACAATGAAACCACACCATGAAGACAGATTCTCCTCTCAAAGTCAGCTTGCTTGTGAGAACAGGAAGCAGTTGTCCACCATACATGGTGGGCTTGTTGGGCATCAGTGTCAGTATCTTAGTGCGGAGAGCTCTAACAAGATAGTACAGATTGGGTGGCATAAACAATAGAAATTCATTTCCTGCAGTTCTAGATGCTTGAAGCCTAAGATTAGGATACCAGCATGATTGCTGTCTTGCTGATGACTCTCTTTCTGGCTTGCAGATGGCCAGTTACCTTTTTGTTTATCCACACATGGTGGCAGGGGTGGATATCAAGCTCTCTGGCTGTTCTCAGAAGGCCACTAGTCTTATTATGGAGCTCCAATCTTATGACCTCATCTAAACCTAATTACCTCCCCAAAGTCTTACTTCCTAATAACATCACATTGTGGATGAGGTTTTCAAAATATGAGTTTGGGGGGACACAATCATTCAGTCTGTAATAGTCATCCATGCAACAATAAGCTCCCCACATCACTGGTAACTGGACTGCCCTTTCTGAATCGTCTCTGTGCAAAGATAGTTTGGTGACTTCTCCCTGTCCCTTCCCTGTTTCTATCAAATGGCAGGAAGAACTTTCCCTCAGAAGACTGTGGGTTGTGGCTGGTCGTTCTTATGGCATCTCCATGGCTATGATCTAGAAATGTGCCTGGAAGGGTCATGAGTTTAGGGTGGACATGTCAGGATGGATTTAGTGAGTGAAAGCCACCTAGTTGAGGTCATTGCCAAGAAGACTCTGGAAGTGAGACTGACTGATGGAAGAAGCAGGTTAATGTGGGAGAGGGCACCTGCAGCAGGACAATTCTTAGTCCTCATAAACGTCACAGCAATGACTTGTCCTACTAGCCTGAGCCTAACCAGGGACTCCCTCCTACCTTGCCCTCTATTTCCTTTGATGAGAAGAGGAAAAGCAATGAACATTTTAGAAATTTCAGACCTGGATAATTTCCAGAGAATAATCACGACAGACTTCACCCACCCAGCTATCCTTCCATAAGAATGAAGGAACTTGAGTTTCTGGACCAGGACTGCAAAACTTCAGGCTTCTGGGAATTCATTTCTCAGCTCCTGAGTTGGCAGACTCACCACTGTAGCAAGGAGATGTTCATTTCCCCTCTGTAGGATTTCTGAATGAAATGTTCCTCTTTTCATCTCAGTGTTCCTAGTGCCAGAATGATGTCATCCGTGGGAGAAAGGTCTTGCTCCTGGGCCAAGTTCAGAGCTGGGAAGTACCATCTCTGAGGTCATACACAGAATCTGGAAGGCCCAGAGAGCACACTTCCCCCAGTCTGGGACATCTGCCTCAGGGGAGTCTGAGCAAAAGCTCCATCTGAAAAAGCTTTTGGGCATCTGGGAATCTGGCCAAGAGCCCTATTAGCTAAGTTTCTTTTTTTTTTTGTTAACCTTTCACAATATTATTTAAATTTAATTTTAAGAGAGAGCTATTCAACTGCAATAACACAAGTGGACATTATATTATTAAAAACCAAAGTAAAATATGTTCCAGCTGATATCTTCCCCATTTCCAACTTGAGCTGTTATGTTTCCACTACAATTTCATTATAGAAATTTTCAGACATAAAGAATAGTTGTCCATAGTTTTAGAGTAACATACATATTCCTACCACCTAGATTGTACAATAAATATTTTCTGTACTCACTTTCTCACATAGCTATCCAAGCAGTCATACCTCTATTTAATTATCTAATCTATATTTTGGATGCATTTAAAGGGAGGTCACAAATATCAGTACACTTGCCCTCAAATACATCATGCCATGCTGTTCTCTAACATTTTTATAATTACTTTCTTTTGGAGATAGAACTTAGAGACTACGTAATGTGCAAGTATGAATCATCGTATACACCACAGTATATGAAGCGACCAATCCAGTGACTTATAATCCAAGGACTATCAACAACCCAGAAAGTACCCTCATAGCTCTTCCTAATTATTTCCCACTCACACTATCCAGAGGCAACCATTAATTTTTTTTCTGTTGTCAGGTCTGAAATTTAATACAAATGGGCCCATTCAGCATTGTTTTTATAGAATAAGACTTCTGTCACTCAGTGTAGTGTTCTGAGACTCATTCAAACTGTTGTATATGTCAGGAATTCATTCCGTTTTATTCCTGGGAAGTATCCCATCGTATGAACAGAACATATCATAGTTCCTACATTCATTTCCTATTGATGTACATCCAAGCTTCTAATTTTTGACTACTATAAAAAAGCTGCGAGGAACAATTTTGTACAAATCTCTTTATAGACATATGTTCCCACTTCCCTTGGGTAAATACCCAGAAGTGAAATTGCTGGATCATGGGGTAGACGTATGAGTGTTTATTTTATACTCCTAACAATAATGTAGGAGATTTCTAGTTGCTACACATCCTTGGGAACATTTGGTACTATCGGTCTTTCTAATTTTACTTCTTCTGGTGGGTGTAAAGTGATTTAAATTTCTATTTTGGCAAATTTTCCAAACTAGCAAGAAATACATATGTATAAGGTTCAGGTTTGGAGAAAATGGTGGTTGACAAGATTAAAATATGTGGTATTAGAAAAATTACTTCATCCAAACTCAGGCCATACAACCAATAGCTTGGAAATTACTAATGCTGAAGGGACATGGAAGAAGCAGCCAGATACATTCTGCAATTTGAAGTTCCCTCAACCATATTATAATGTTAGACAAATGAAGTTAATACCTAGAAAACTGCAGCACTCATTGATAGAGAATTAGGAACTCTTGTTTCCCTACAGAGCTGACCTGGGTGAATCACAATGCATCCCCCAATTTGCTTCTTCATGGTCAAATCCCCTGGAGAACCATCTCTGTAGAGCTGGCTCAGCCAGGAAAATAGAGTGGTGAATCACCTGGACAATTAGGAGAAACACCTATCCCCCTCTCTCTCTTTCCAAAACCAACCCTGGATCTCAGGGAAAGGAATTCACATTTTTGAGCATCAGCACTGTGTGCCCAGACCAGTCAGGCAATTTTTATATCTTGTCCTTTAGTTCTTACAACAACATCCTATAAAGTTATTTGTTGATAGCCTCATGTTAGATGTGAAATCAACCCTTAGAGAGCTATAGTAACTTGTGGTGGGTCACACACTAAAGAAAAACCAGAATATCATTCTAAATCCTGCACTCTATCATTGCTGAAATAGTTCAATGAGTGTTAAGGCCAATAGTAGAGGGAAGGAATTACTCATCTGTCACTTGCATTCTCCTTCACCCTCAGTTTCTTAAAGCCTCACTGCTCTTTGGTGCTCTTCCTCTTTACCCCATTCTGCTCACTGTGACAAGGGAGGGAATTATGTTTGCCATGTTTCTTCAGACTTAGGTACCTGCTCCTGAAAGGCATGAGCTTGTTCCTCAAATCCTGCTGTTCGGAAATAATTGACCACATCCATCACGGCCCAGTCTGCAGGATCAGGTGGTCTCCCATTTTCCATGGAACTGCAAAACACAAATTCAGACACTTATCATAGTATAGCATGCATGAGGATGTGGCCAGGCTCACTACTGTGCATTTCACTAGTCTGGGGCAGCTCACTGGGACCCTGGTTATCTCTTCCCTCACAGGCACAAAACCAGTCTACCTCTGGCAGGATTATGATCATTCTTTTGTTTTTCTGGTTTGAGATGATTGTTACTCTTACTGGGTTAGTCATTGTTTTGCTAATAAACTATTTGAATTTCAATATAAATTATTTTCTCAGGTTCTATTTTTTAAACCAAAGACATTGAGAGGTGTCCAATGACTTTTGATGCCCCTCAACTTGATATGCAGACTGTAATTTGCAGTATAAATATTCACTTTACAATATAACTCCAACATACCTCTCCTCATTTCCTGCCACCTTCCCAAACCTGTCTCCATGCATCCAAGAATAAAGCTCTTCCCCAATAGGCCATGCTCTTTTACAGATCTGGACCTCTGCACATTCTGTCCCAGCCACTTAGAATGACCCCTCACCTAATTTTCCATGATGAAACCCTTTTCTTCCTACCAGTTCAAAGTCTACTTCTTTTTGGAGGCCTTTTTCTGGCACTTCCAGGGAAGTGATTTAGTTATAACTTCCTTTGAGTTGTAGCACTCTATTCAAACTCTCATTGTAGTACTCTTCACACTGGATTTTACTCTGGATAATCTCTCCTACTAAGGTGGGATGTATCAGCTAGAGATACACATTTGAGCCTAGACCACTGCTCATATTTTATTCCTGGTGTCAAGCATGTACTTAGGAGCCCAATCAATACTGTACAAATAAATAAACAGCTGACAGTCAAACATTTGTCTGAGAGGTTTCACGTGTAACCCTTGTCATTGGACTTACAGAGGAGGGACAGAATGAAATGATGAAATAATGGTGATGACTGGTAGTTGTTGTGACTCTGTCTCACTTTGTTTTTCAGGAGTATTGCTTGGATATCTCTATACTTCATCCAAGGTGATTCTCCCAGAGTGGACATTTGATCACATTGTTCCTCTGCTTAAAACTCTTTAAAGGCATTCTATTACTTTTAGGACAAATTCCAAACAGCTCAAGTTGTCTTTCAATCCAAAGGCTTTCCATTGCTACATCTAGGAAAACATTGGAGAGCAAAGCAGACACAGCCTTCAGCCTTATGGTCCTTATAATCCTGCGAGACACTGACCGATAATCATAGAAGTGCACAATTGCAAGTTATGCAAAATGCTGGGAATGACAGCTCTGCTGTACCACAACAGTTTAATGTCGAGGGGATACTTTCCCATGGAAGTTTCAATTGAGGTCAGGTCTACAGACATCCAGAAGTTAACTGCATGAGGGTGTCAGGTGACAATTATTCAAGGCTCAGCAGGAGCACATATAGCCAAGGCAGCTGTACCAGTCTTGCAGGTCACACTGAGTCTTCTGGATTTTGTTAAGAGAAATGAGAAGTTGTCGAATAATCTTCTATGAATGGGGTGAACTTAATGGATTTATATTTTAAGAAAAAGAGAAAGTATTGGAGAGGAGTCTGAGGGGAAGGAAAGGTATGAATGAGAAGTCTATTGATGCATTTAAGCAGGAGATCACGGTGACCCAGACTAGAATAGTGGCTAAAGAAAAGGAAAGAAGAGTGTGGATTTAAAAAAATATTCAATAAATAAAGTAAACATAACTCAGTAGTAGACTAGATACATAGAATAAAGGGGATGGAGGTGTTGTCAAACGGAATGGATGGTAGAACCTTCACTGAGATCCTTTAGTTGACACCTTGCCCTCAGGGCACTATCTATGCAAGCAGAGACTCGAGGTGGGATATAAGTGTGGAGCTCAAAGCAGAGGAGCAAACTAGAGGAACACGGCTTGCAGATAGAGGCATTTAGGTGGTAAGTGAACCTTTGAGAGAGGATAAGAAAAAGAAGGGGGCCTAGAATTAAACTGGATGTAATTCAAGATTTAGTGAAAGGTGAAAATATTCAATTTACTTTTAGTAGAAATGGAATTGCCTAGACGTTGGGGGATTACTAAAGGCTTAGCTGTTGTATTCTCAGAATAATGTTTTCTTCACAGTAGTAAGCCAAAACAGTTGATTAAAATAATACAAAAACTTCTGTTCCTGTAAAAGGAAAATGAGTCATTGATCAATGGTACATGTGATTGCTCATTTCTCAAAAGCACTTAATTTAAAAACAGATCCAATGCTTACTAGTTAAAAGGTTTTTTCTCCATTTTGAATTTAGGGACTTAATCCCTAAACAATGTATGCTCAAGTCTATATGTGCCAATGTGTGTGCATACACAACATCTTACTATTTAACAGGTAACATCCATTGGAGGAAGACTCCTATTTTTCACTCTAACATTGTCAAGCATTAATTGTGTATGTTTAAATCAGTGCTAAATGTTTTTTAATGGTCCATGTGCTGAGATTTCCCATTATTGTGTTAACATAAACAATCAGAAGTAACACTGAGGACTGTCCTTGTCCTCCAGCTACCATTTTCCTTCTCCTTCATACTTTAAGCGCACTTGAGGAATGTTTGGGAATCTATTGTTCTAAAAAATCTTTTAAATTTTCTAATCAGCTCACTTCTAGCAATGAGCACAGAGTCCCACTGGACACACTCTTAAGTGCCTAGAAAAAATGTATTCTGAATTTATTCTCCCTTTGGATGATTTCAGTTATATGCCTCATATGCCACCTTGCCTCATGTGAAATAGTTACAGAATTGCAATAAGGAATTATACTACATTGTGATTTTAAGTGGGATAATTTTCTGGTTCTTACTCTGTTGGGATGGAATAACATCACTTCCACAATTCTGAAATAATCTTTAGCACTAGTAACACCACTGAGAATAAAGATGGTAAAACTGCCGGCAAAGTACCATAAAGAATAGAAGCAATATGGAACTGGGAATTCTCTCACATGTAAGGTGAGAGTATGCACTCAACAGAAATAAGGGATTCAAAGCTAGTTAATGAATTTAATGATTGATCTACCTGAAATCAAAATAACTTAGAAAAAAAATCACATTAGACTGCTCATATATTGAGAGGAAAAACCTATCTTCCTCCCTGTAACTTACCAGAACCTAGCAAAGGTCTGAGTAGTGCACGGATGTTACACAGTAAAGATCTGTTGTATTAGATAGGATAACAACCAGGAAGCACTTACAGTCTACAAGTCCACAGTACCCTTTTCACAGGTCCAAGTACTAGTATTTGTGGCCAAACTGAGACACTGAATTTTATTTCCTTATAAGTGGACCATTTTCTCCATATTTTTCTTATAATTTGTGCATATCAGATTCCAGAAGGAATTTAAATGGCAGATGGTGGTTCCATTGTGGCTGTTAATTTTGCATGGATGAAATGAGATGACAGATAAGATGTCATTATCACTGGGTATTTATTTTTCACTTTCATCATAGCAAAATGTTTCTTAGAAAGCAATAAATATTAAAATGACAAATTTAGGAGTATTTTTCCAGGCACTGGAATCTTAAAAAAATTATATATGCACATATCGCCTTATTACAAAAAGTTAGCAGGAAATGAAGGGCAGAATTTGTCTTCAGTTCCATCTCCTAATCAAATCAATCTTTCCACTTAACCCAGTCAACTTTCAGCCCTTGTGCATATGGTTGGATACATCATGTATTGATAAAAATTTTATCATGTGTGAATAATTCACACTAGGAAACAATTAATCCCTTAATTAAACAATCGCTTCACTTTTAAAGAGCACTAGTGAGACAGTCATGGGGACAGAAAGCCATAAATAACCGATTTGGCAGATATATGCAGGTTAATTGGGGCCTTTTGCATATAGGCACATCATAATTTTAAGTTCTGGTAGCAAAAGGTCTCCATTTCCCTTAACATGAAGGCAAGTGTGAAATAGTTGTAAGTCTCTCTCAATCTATCACATGTATATTTTATGGAGTTTATGATAGAGATTTTGAGGGGTAAGAAGGTCAAAAGCATATTCTGGATAAATACAATTCATATGTGTTTCACAACTCCAATTACACTCATTTGTTGCATTTGTACTTCAGAGTTCAAAAAAAAATACTTTAGACACTGGTTAACATATTACATAATATTTTGTCATGTTATTCTTTTTTCTGAAAGCTAATTCTGAATGTTGTTCATTTTATGTTCAGAAATGCACTCTGTACTACCTTAATCTTTATACTTTATTTTAAAATTAAATTACTCAATTCTTTGCCGATGTTTTAACACAGGCTTTAGCTAAAAACAATTTAATTTCGATTCTAAAAATTTATATTGATCTCTGCCTATGACATGACTAAGAATGAAGCAAGTGAGTTTTAGTTTTATCTTCATTCTTTCCTCCCCCTCCCTTTGTGCTAAGAAGCAGAGATCTGGCTAAAAGGCAGGTCCGACAAGAGAAAGGATGATTCAAAGGTCTTTGACAGAGCATTTTTCATTTTAAAATATTCAGATAAATAAGAGTTGGCTGCATTTAGCCACAGCATACCCAAGTGATGAAAGCATTAGAAAAGCAAATCTCAGCAAGCCTTCTGCATATTTCAAATTCTTTAGCTTAGCACTCAGAGACTTAATTCAAACATCACTTTCCGGTTGGTACTGAAACCCAGCGGGGCGTTATCCTAGACTTGCCCATGCCCACAGCTTTTGTTACATCACTTAAACTCTTTCTATTTGGTTTCCAGGGATTGAAGTCCTACTCTTTTAAAAGGTACCAGTTGAATATTCTCTTCAAATATCTGCAGTCAATTTTTTATTCCAGTCACAGATTAATAAATTGTAACCTGCCTATTGAGAATCAGGCATTAATAAGGAAATTCATAGCCTAATGAAGTGGGTAATCTCAAGTCAGCTGTGAGATGAAGAGTCATGTCTGTTCACTCCATTATTCCAAAAGTCACGTAGGAAACAAGATGAGCAGATGGAGGAAGGATGGAAGGTGGACACAGCCTGTGACTCCGGCTG